CATCACCAAGTGCCACGCTCTGGTGCCAGTCGCTTTCTTAGCAGCCATGTGGCCTCTAGGGCCCCTGTCCAGTTTGTGGGTCCCATTCACAAACACATACTAGCTCCTTGTCTTCTGAATTCACAACACTTTTTTAAAAAAATTGTTTTTAAGCACAGCGTAAGACTTTCCATGTATGCCCATTAAATCTCATCTTGTTAGTTTTGGCTCATTGGTAGAAAGTGCCCGAATGTCTCTAATCCATCGTTTGCATGGCCAGGAGAGGAGATCAGGGCAGCTCTTTATATCCTCATAGTGATGGTTGACAAAGCCACATGCCAGGACAAGGCCTGAACACAGCCCCAAGGCCACCAGCAGCAATCTCCAGCCAGCTGACTACCAGGTCACCATGAACAACAGATTAATATCATCCTCAGGACAGTCATTTATCCAGCTCCTAAGCCACCCGGCACAATGTGCCCAGCTGTGTTTCTCCATTCTGCACAGACTGAGAGATGATCTAAAACCAACACCTTCTCAGATATTTATGCCTAATGTTTGGCAATTTTAAATGTGTTGCTGTTGATTTAAAGTGAATAGTAATTGACGCTGTCCCTTAAGTAATGTCTGGAATTGTTCCAGACAGAGAGTCAGTGCCGAAGCTATTCGAGCCCAGAGATACCCCAAATAGAAACTCAGTGGGCTGTGTGTTTCCCCTGGCAACCGCCTTCGATCAGTGCTGGGAATGGGGCTTACACGCACAATGCTCACTGGCTTGAGGGATATGGGCACTGTGATCTACTGCCCTCACTTTTAATTATCCTAAACTGGGAAAACGGACGTCTCAGCTGGCCAGCCTGTCCCATAAAGCATTTTGATCAAAGATGTTGCTTCACAGAGCACCTGTCTGAAGAATGACTGGGGTGTCCACGGGGATCCAGGGGACGTATGGAAGTTATAAAGCTCATCTCTGCAGCCCCACAGGCAGAAGGCAGGGCTGTGAAAGATGCTTCTCTGGGGGAGCTTTTGCTTCTTTAAACATTCAATTATGGCTCCACAAACACAGGTTTTAAGTGAACAGCAGATCTCTGCACAAATTATGTGTGCTAGAAGATAAATAAAATAGATGATCTGAAATAGAGATTGAATGCAAATCCAGCTCTGCTCCTTGAAGAACTGGTTTACAGGTTCTGAGAAGGGATGGTCAGGAGACTCTCTTTCAGTATTAGTTCTAGATTACAGATGTGTTTTTTAGGGATGGGGACACTTTTGTTTGGGTTTTAATTTCTAAGCAGGTTTTCAATTAAAACAGATTTCTGGGTATTCAAGAACTCACTTTCTTGTCTTTGTAAGTGACTGGAGGCTTTCTGAAGACCTGCCACCGTATTTTTCTCTTTTATAAATAGTGACTACTTTGACTTCTCTTTTCAATCATTATCAAGTTTTCACCATATTTTTTTTCCTTCAAAATAAAAAGATTTCTTCTTAATTTGAAAAGTAATCCATTTTTGTTGTCAAACATTAAGACAACAAACATATAGCAGAGACATGTATCATGTGTCTAATTGTAAAATAAAAACTGAGTACCATGTAAATTATTTTCTAATACGATGTTCAGGTTGATTGTACCCATTCTGTTTTACAATGTCATTTTTAATTACTGCATAGTATTCTGTCTTACAGCAGAGCCATAGTTTTTTAACCAATGTCTTCCTATTAGTATATAATTATTCTGATAGTAGATAAACATTTTACTGTACTTATATAATTATAGAAATTTCATTATCTCCAAGATATCACTACTCATAATAGACGTGATTTTTTTTGCCACTCCTGAGGCTTGAACTCTGGGCCTTGGGTACTGTCCCTGAGCTTCATTTGCTCAAGGTGAGCACTCTACCACTTAAGCCACAGTGCCACTTCCAGCTTTTTTGAGTAGTTTATTGGAGGTACAAGTCTCATAGATTTCCCTGTCCAGGCTGGCTTTGAACCATGATCCTCAGAGCTCTGCTGCCTGAGTGGCTAAGATTACAGGTGTGAGCCACCAACACCCAGCATTAAATCATTTTTAAAAAGTTGTTATGCTTGGTAAATTGAGGGGATGAATGGGTTTAGGATGAATAGGAGAGAATGATAAAAGGGTGACATTGATCTAGATGCTTTGTACTCACATACTGGCATGCTGAATTGAAAGCTCTTCATACAAATACTTACGATAATGAAACAAATACCAAAGCATTTGGAAATTTTCATTTTTTAAATAGTAATACTGGCACGCTCTCATTTTTAAAACTTTACTATTAACAGAATAGAGACTTAAAACTTGGTACAAGGAGAGATGGGATGTAGCTGAAGGGTAGAGTGTTTTCATAGCACACACAAGGCTCTGGGTGTGAGCCCCAGCAAGGAATAAAAAATTAGTACAAGCTGCATATGTCAAATAAAGCAACAGAACATCTTAGGAACACATTCAATACTCTGCATCTATTTTTACAATTTAGGCTGACAGAGAGGTTGAGAAGGTTGAAATAAATGGAGAAGAGATAGTTTTATGTTTTCAACTTTTCTAATTTTCGGATTATCTTAGAAAAGGCCCAGGATTAGAAGGTAACCTGTTAAAATGCTATTTTTAAAAAATTAGTCATTGTCGGGCTGGGAAGGTGGCTCAGTGGTAGAGCGCTTGCCTTGCATGTCTGAGGCCCTGGGTTCGAGTCCTCAGCACCACATAAGCAAAAAGAAAAAAGCTGGAAGTGGTGCTGTGGCTCAAGTGGTAGAGCGCTAGCCTTGAGCTGAAGAGCTGAGGGACAGCGCCCAGGCCCCACGACCACACCCAAAAAAATTAGTCATTGTCGAGTCCACAGCATGCATTAGACTCTGCAGCAGTAGAAGGTAACTCATCTGCAGCGGGACCGTGACAGATATTGAAGCTGCTGTATGCCCTCAGGAGAGCCAGCGGGGCTCTAAGCAGTCATGTCCCCACAGAAGGACAAGCCCACTCAACGTGGAGGTGAGGAACTAGGAGAGGAGACTGCCCAGGGCCTGACCACAACATCCACTCAAAAGACCAATAACCACAGCCTGGTTTACCACAAAACAATCAGCAGTACTAGCTGGGATAACACTTTATTTTATTTTTTTTGCTCCTCTCTCCCCTGTAGTATTTAATTTTTTGGCTGGGGCATGTATTCACATTATAGTAAAAAAGAAATAAGGATTTTATTAAGTCTATGTCTGCTCTCTGGTCATAACACTATCTGTGGAGCTTAGGACCTGCCTTCCCAGCTCTGGGCAGCACTTCACCTAAAAGCCAAACAGTGGAAGTACTTGTCAGACTAAAATTTGTGACCCAGTCCTAACAACAGACAAGTAGCATGGCTGTTCTTTCAGAGAACACCTACCTAGTCCCTCCACTGAGCTACTTTCAAAACCAACAGCAATGTACAAAAACACCAATGTCCCATAATATTCTTATATGAAAGAAATAGAGAAAGGCCATAAAAATATGTGCTTTCCTAAGAGAGGCATGTCAAAAGCAATACACCGTTTTCTGTTCGGATTTCAAATTATTCAACACATGTGGCCAAATCTCTATGCAAATATTATCCTGTCAAAGCTAAAGCACATCGCTTATTTGCTGTTTACAAAGCTTTTGATCCATTTTATGGGAAAGGGTATGGCTATAAGAAGAAATGTGAAGAGGCAGGTTGCAGATCACCAGCAGAAGGCCACGGGATATTACACACACTGATTTAAAATACACTGTGACATTCCATCCGGAATGTCAGCAATGGCTGTCAACTGCCTCTTTGGTTTGATTTGCTTTGTAGCCTCAACTCACACCTTGATGCCAAGAAGTGATCCCATTTCTTTCTATGGAGACTCTGGTTTTGAGACCATATGCCTGGGATGCCACTTTCCGAGAAGCCTTCCCTAGCTATGATGTCAATTCAGCAAAATTCAGCTTTTCACCAGTGTGTGATGAAGAGAGCCATACTACTTAAAGAGGAAAACTACATCTTTATTCCTTTCTGTATGAAAATGGAGTTTGAACTCAGGATTTTGTGTTTGGCAGGCAACTACTCTACCACTTGATCCATGCCTCCACCCCCTTTTGCTCTGATGATGATTATTATTATTGATAAGGTTTTGGCCAAGCTAGCATGGATGGTGATCCTATTTTCACTTATCACACAGCAACATGCCACCATGCCTAGCATTTTTTTTCTGTTGCAATGGGGCAGGTCTCTTAAACTTTCTGCCTAGGATGGCCTCAAATTGTGATCCTCCTGACCTCATCTTCCGAGAAGCCAGAATTACAGATATGAGCCACCAGCACCTGTACTGACTGGTTCACTCTAACACCACTCCTTTGTGGGAGTCTTTGTTACCTCTAGTACTAAATAGCTGGTGATGAAGATCCTGAGAACAGTGGTACCGTTGGGAGAGCCAGTATAAGGAATGGCACTCACGGAAGATATTTTCATTTGTACCTTGAGGCGGATAACATTTCTACTACGCAATAATATCCACATGTTTGAGAAAAAAAATGTAACCTCATTTTCTATAAATTTATATATTCTTCAGAAAGGGATTAAACTTCTAAATACAAAGGTAAAAATGAAATTTGTATCACTGGAGGCAAACTTTGAAAGACAAAAGAAACTCAATGTTTCCCAAGAGAAAAGAGTTTCTATGTATTTGAAGCTACCCTCTCTGATTATGTCAGGAATTGCCAAAAGTCAACTAATTATGGGACACTTGAATAAACAGAAAATGCTTTAAATTCTCTTCTTGAGAAAAAGAAACTTGGAAACTATCAAAAACGCTACTGGGTTTTCAAGTTCTTTTTAGTTTAGCTTTGTTTTAGAGTGACACAAGACTTTATTTCTCCAGATTTAATTTCAGCATCCAATGTGAATCTGGATTACAAATCTAAGCATTCAGTTCTGTTTCTCTGCATGTTGACATATACTGCACCTTGCTCCTATGGTACAACAAAAACAAGAATGAACTTGACTTACTCATTTCTTTCCAGGTGTATGATCAGTTCTCTGCTTTCCAGTTGTAGTCGAATGCTCAATGATTCTGGATGATCCTGAAAGATAAACCAGAAGAGCCAGCTGAAAAACATTTGGCTTTGGCTTGCCAATATTGCAGAGTCCGCAGAGTGAGAGAAAAATACGTTTCTTTGGAGCGTTCTGAGACACTAAGTCTAGCAGTGCAGGGCAGGAGCTAGAAAGGAGACACCTGACCCTGTAAACTTTAGGCTCTTTGCCTTTAACCACACATCCTCCGGTCACCTTGGTCTCAGTCCACTCCATCCACGCTTTCCTCCGTCTCTGGCCCTACAAAAGGCACTGCCCATGCCTGAACCATGAGTCACTCCTGGGACCTCCTACTCCATCACCTGTCCTATGGATTGCATGAGAAGTCCCTTACCATCCTTGGAAGTTCCTAGTCTTCGCTCCAGCCCCACCCCACTCAGCAGTCTGAGAGAAGCACAAGCAGGAAGTGGGGGCGTGGCTCTGGTGGAAGAGCATCTGAGCATTAGTTCCTGGGGTTGGGATCCTGGTGCATCCGGGAGACTTCTGGCCATTCCATGGACCCAGTACCACAGCCTCGCAGGTGCCTGGATCTGCTTCACAGGCCTGTCGCCACTGTCCAGTGGAGACATCATGGTGGCCCCACATTCAATTGGAGGCTGTCATGGCTTTTTCTGCCTTTGCATTTATGTTGGGTAAGAGCAAACGGGACAAGATACTTATAGGCGATTTTCTAATATTGCACTGTTTGAAATATGCTGTTATTACTCCAGAGTGCAAGATGATTTCACAATATACTGTTTGAGCTGTATTGTGAATGAACTAGCCACGTGTTATAATTTCAGACAAGACAGATCAGAAATGCAAAATACTGAACATTAAAATAATTAGTTAAAATGAAGCAATTCTTTTTCAAACCCACAATAGCTGAAGTCACATGAGCTTTGAGGAAATAACAAAGCATTTAACGAAGGACACATTACACTAAAGGCTCAAAAATGGTTTTTTTTTGTTTGTTTTTCGGGGCTGGGAAGGTGGCTCAGTGGTAGAGTGCTTGCCTTGCATGCATGAGGCCCTGGGTTTGATTCCTCAGCACCACAAAAAGAAAAAAGCTGGAAGTGGCACTGTGGCTCAAGTGGTAGAGAGCTAGCCTTGAGCTGAAGAGCTGAGGGACAGTGCCCAGGCCCAGAGTTCAGGCCCCATGACCGGACCCCCCAAAAAAAAAACAACACATTTTTTTGTTATTGTTGTTGTTATTTTTTTAGGACAACGCTCTGACATCTAGTAGCCTTTTTATGTCTAATCTGGTAGGGGTTAGCCGTGCAGAGCTATTTAAAATTAAACAAAATTGAAAACTTAGATCTCCAAATGCTCTTGATGCAAGGAGCAGCAACACGTGCATATGCATAAGGGTATGTAAGCAAAGCACTATGGGTTGCTGATGAGGGACAGGCTGGGGAGGTGGGAGGAAAGGGAGTGGGAGGGAAGGGAAATGGGATGGAAAAGAGGAGAAAGGGAGAGGGGAAGGAGAAAAGGAGGGGAGAGGGAAATGTAAGGGGGAGGGAGGATAAAGTCCCAAACTTCATTTTCCAACTGCTGGCCAAGTAACAGATATTATCAACACTGGTGCCTTTGAGGGTAACATCAAATGCAAACCCAAGACTTTTACTGTGTGTCATAAAAGGATGATGTCTCAATTTTAATGGATAGATATTATTTTAAATATTTTAAAATAATATTTTACTAAAGCTTAAGGATTAACTGGTGAATTTCTATACACATAGAGAGCTCCTGTGAATGTTCTGGGTTTAAGCAGGTTTTGTTTCTTATGAAGTCATTCTAGTAAAAGACTAAACTAACACAGTTCTTAATCCACATAGTTTGACAATGTCTTGTTTTTGTAAGAACTGCATGAATTTCTGAGTGTTAGCTGAACTTTAAAAATGAGCATTTCTGATCAACCTGATGTAACATCAAATGTATCATTTCTTTGTAATACAGGGTGTGCTTTTAGTTCTGTTCAAGGACTTCTGCTTATATTTGCTTCTATTTCTGAATCTTAGACGATTTAAAGGCAAATATTTGTACATTGTTCTCTGCAGGCTTCTCACTATGTACTCATTAGTTCTATCTTAGAAAGACAAGAAGATTAATCATGTTTACAATAAAATAATAAAAGAGAAATGTCTTCATATCCTATCAAGATGCACCCAGACACCACATGGATGTTATCTTTGCATGTATAACTATACCACATGCACCTGGATCTTTGCATGTATCCTGGTTGTTTTACATATGTTTGAACATAGATCTTAGTTCCTTTTGTTACCAATTATGTTTGCCTAAGATACTGACACACACCTATCACCATCATAAGGAGAAATCCTGACAAAGTCTATTTGTGAGAAAAACAAAAAGTTAGGGCTGTGGTAGAGTGTATGCTTAGTATGCACAATGCTCTGTGTTTGGTATTTCACATCACCAATAAACAATGAAACAAATCTGTCATACCTCTTTGCCCAAAATAATTAATGTAGTTTAAATATTAACATTGGTATCAGCTCTCCAGAAAGCCCCTTTAAGAGCTTTATAACAGTTCAACATCAACATCTTTCAAAAGAATACAACTTCTGTCTTGGGTTAAGAGGGAAGAGGATGTCTATGTGTATATTTTAGTGGAGGTAGAGCCGTACAGGAGAAATCTATTGGACAGGGAGAACAGACAACTATTTTAATTCAAACCCATTACTACTTCCAGTAGCCATTTTCATTTAAAAGCATGTATTTGTTCCCTTTTCTTTTGATTGTAATCCACGAGAGATAATGATGAACCAGCCTTAATGGAACACAGCACCACTTTTTCTCAAAAAATGATATATTGATTACCCTAATGGAACTTGGTCCTTTGTTGAATGCTTAAAGAACTGCAATTGCTGAATGAATCCATTAAATGCTAATCAATAGGCCAGAAATATTTAGGCAGTAATCATCATTTCATCTCTTAAATTAGGGGAAGTACATCTAAAAGGATATATAATATGCATCAGTATGATTTTTTAAAAGGAAACTATAATAAGATAATCACCAGGCTACTTGTCACTGGCCGAATCTGTAACGTTATCATCAGAACCTTAGCAGGACACAGTCCAGGTGACTCATTCAACAGCAACAGACTTCCTCAATCTTCTGGAGATTACAAGTCTTAAGATCAAGATTTTGAGGTCTGCTTTCCAAAGATGGCCTTCTTGCTATATGTCTCCGCAGTCATTTGCGTGTCTAATCTTTCTCTGTGAGGACACCAGCCTGACAAATCAGCTCAGCTCACCTAACTACCTCTCTACAGGTCCCTGTCTCCAAACACGGTCCCACCCTAACCCAGTGGGGGTTAGGTCTCAATGTATGGATTGGCAGGGTCAGACCATAACACTCCTTGTGTTGGATTGACTCTTCCATTCCTTGCTCCTCACAGAGCTAACTCAGACCCTGTCTTTCTTATGAATCATGATCTTGATTTCCCTTATAGGTTCTCTTTCTTTCTTTCTTTCTTTCTTTCTTTCTTTCTTTCTTTCTTTCTTTCTTTCTTTCTTTCTTTCTTTCTTTCTTTCTTTCTTTCGATTTTGTTGGTCATGGGGCTTGAACTCTGGGCTTGGGTGCTATCCCTCAGCTCTTCAGCTCAAGGTGAATGCTCTATCACTTGAGCCACAGCTCCACTTCCAGTTTTCTAGTGGTTTATTGGAGATAAAAGTCTCATGAACTTTCCTGCCTGGGCTGGCTTTGAACCGTGATCCTCAGATCTCAGCCTCCTGAGTAGCTAGGATTACAGGCATGAGCCACCAGCATCAGGGTGGTTTCTTTCTTTTTTTAACTGGAGTTTGAACTTAGAACCTTGAGTTTGCTCTATCTCGTGAACCATGTCTCCAGTCCTTTATGCTTTAGTTATTTTTCAAAAAAGGGTCTCACTTTTTTGTCTAGATCAGCCTGGGTTGAGCTCTTCCTGTTTCACTTCACACATAGCTAGCATGACAGGCACATACTGCCTCACCCACTTTTTATTGGCTGAGATGGGGTCTCATCAGCATATCCCTGTGGGTGTGCTGGCTTTGAAAACCCATCCTCTGGACTGGGAAGGTGGCTCAGTGGTAGAGCGCTTGCCTTGCATGCCTGAGGCCCTGGGTTCCATTCCTCAGCATCACATAAGCAAAAAGAAAAAAGCCAGAAGTGGCACTGTGACTCAAGTGGTAGAGCGCTAGCCTTGAGCTGAAGAGCTGAGGGACAGCGCCCAGGCCCAGAGTTCAGGCCCCACGACCGGACCCAAAAAAAAAAAAAAAAAAAAAAGAAAACCCATCCTCCAAATCTCAGCTTCTGAAGTAGCTAGGATTATAGGCATGAGCCCCCCCAATCCATCTTCCTTTCTTAATTTATTCCCAGTATGTATGACTGTGTCTATGTATGAATGGATGGATGTATGCATACCTGCCTGTATGTATGAATGCATCTACATATGAATGTATGCATATATGTGTGTGAATGTGTGTCTGTCTGTCTGTATGTGCATATGTGTGTGTTCATTTATATATGTATATGCACATGGAATTTTAAACAATATACTCTTCAGTTTTATCCAGTTTTGAGTGTCCTCTCTTGTTCCTTTTGGTCCTTGGTTCTCTTTTCTATGGCTGAGTTGGCTTATCCACTCTCATATTTGTGCATTCGCACCTGTGGCTGGATGTGGCTGCTAGCCATTTCTTTTCACTGTTTGCATATTCTATCAGATGAACACTTGATAGTGTTCTACGCTAGACAGATGCTCGTGGGTTTTCCCCATCGCCCCTCCCCCCCCCAACACGGCTCCACTGGTTCTCATGTGCACCTCCAGATGTGGATTTCCACCTGGGATGAAGCGGGGTGGGGCAGTGCCTGGATGCTTGGCTAGCACTCTTCCAGCTGTTTCCCAAAGTACCAAGAGATGACAACAAGCCCTCTGTGAGCGGACAGGTGTTCCTTCGCCTCCGCGTGCTGACGACTATCTGTCTGACATGTTCAGGCAGGCAAA